GGCTTCCTGCCGTGGCCGGGGGCTCCGCGCAAGGCGCTGAGGGGCTGCTGCCTGGCTCCTCGAAGGGTGCCCGTCCCTCAGCGCCGGGTTTCCTGGCCGCCCCTCATCCCCTTCTTCGCATTGGCGCGTTAGTCGCGGTTGTTTCCAATTGTAAGGAATGGGCTTGGATGACAACGCTAATGTTCGTAGGAAATTGGGCAGGGAAGTATGTAAACAACGTAGGAAGGTCGGTTCAGGTCGAAGGTTTTAACGTGTGGCTGAGCAGCCTCATCTTACCTTGGAAAATTTCCCTTCCCGCCAGAATCATCCCCTTCTTCGCATTGGCGCGTTAGTCGCGGTTGTTTCCAATTGTAAGGAATGGGCTTGGATGACAACGCTAATGTTCGTAGGAAATTGGGCAGGGAAGTATGTAAACAACGTAGGAAGGTCGGTTCAGGTCGAAGGTTTTAACGTGTGGCTGAGCAGCCTCATCTTACCTTGGAAAATTTCCCTTCCCGCCAGAAGCCTGCGCTTCAGCCCGAGGCAGGGGCTCGGGGACAGCCCCGGGAGCCAAGCGGGGAAGGCGAAGGCTTCCCTGGGTGACTGCATTGCGGGTGTTCCTGTCCGTGCTGCTGGCCAGGCTGGATGCTGGCGGGCAGCAGGAGGGAAAAGGGGCAGCTTTTATCAGGCGGTCTGCTGCTTCTTCCCCCCGTGGAAAAGCTGCATGTGAGATGCTGCGGCTTCCCTCCCCTGTCACTGCTTGTTGGCAGGGATAAATGTGTATTCTCATGTGAAAAGTGGAATAAATTGCAATAAACTTTATATGTGCATTAGCTTTGGTGATTATGGGGGCGTGTCTTAAACACTCATAGAATAAGTCTGGAGTTGCACAGAAGGCCAAAATTTTATTTTTCTGTCATTTCTAGTAAGTAAGCTTACGCTTAACCGTTATATGGCCCATTAGTATGGTAGTCAGGGACTACTAAGATATGCTTTCCATTGCCTTCCCTAGTTGGCTAACGCTCAGAATGAAAGGCAGAGCAACTATAACATCTAATGTCTATATTTGTTTTCTTCCTAGATATTGGTATTAACCTGACAGATCCTATGTTCAGAGGAATCTACAGGGGAACACAAAAACATCAAGGTAAATGTTTCTTTGTATCTGCTGAAAGACAGGAGCCCTCTCATTAAAATAGAAACCTCTTACGTGTCAGTACATGAGGTTAGAGTTCATTTTTCGCCTCAAAACCTGGATGCTTGTTATTTACTACGGCTTGAAGAAAGTGTGATAAAACAAGTTATGTGTTCTAAGCAGAAGACATTCTCTTAATTGCTGTTAAGCTGTCATACGGGTAGCTGCAGGTAAGTGCTTCTAGAGCAAAATGGATGACTGCTGATTTATTTATATTAGGATTGCACGGAAAAACTGATCTGAGAATTATGGACAATAAATTATCAAAATATTTTATTGCTGAATTATAGTTACTAGTTACAACTGATGCTTTTTTTGCTCTCACAGCCTTTAGATTTAGATGTAAAAACAGAGTCTCCTAAAGCATGTGGGAAAACTTCCATTGATTTCTTGGATTTAAACTGGATCTTCAGTTATTGCATTTTGTTATTGTCTTCTAAAGAGTAATCAAGAGTGGTTTAAAGGTTGTTCATGATAGGCATTTTGACTGCACGAAAGTGATTTTTAGTTGAAAAGTAGATAAATTATGCAGTAAAAGCTTAAGGTCATTGTATGACATTTTTATGAACTTTCACAGATGACTTTTTGGATGTGGTAGAGAGAGCAGTCAAAGTTGGCGTTAAAAAGGTAATTTATTATTATAAAATTTCTTTAGTATTTTAAAATCCTTTCTAATACTTGGATTTTTTAGTGCTCCCCTACTAAAACAAATGTTTCTGGAACTTGCAATGGAAAATGCAGTAACTTTCTTCAATAGCGTAAAGCAAAAGTGTTCTGTGCAGAGCATTGTTTTTCATTTGTACAGATCATCAGATGCTGATTATTTAAGTTCAGTGGTATCATATGTGATGTGTATGTAGAATTTCTTTTGTACAGTTTCGACGGAAAGATATTCTCCTCTGACCTACTGCAATCAACTAGTATGTAATTTTCCACATTAGTTGTATTATAAGCAACCACTCCTTGTATCCCGTGTGACTCTCTTACTCAACAGTTACTGCTACAGATCAAAGCCCAAAAATGCTTCTGATTGAGATCCTTCAGACATTTCTACATGTAAAGGAAATTGGTAACTGCAGAAGAGCTAGGAGTGCACATAAATTCTTACAGTTGAGACATCTAAATGTCTGCTAGTAAATACTGGCTTACCTGTATTAAAACAGCATCGTTATGAGCAGGTTTGTAACTCTTCACTTGAAATTGGTGGTCTCAGCAGTGGACCACACTCCTTTAGTTCCAGTAGTCCA